ATATTTATATGTCACAGATTAAGTCCTGCCTGCCCGCAAGTGTTAAAGCCTTTGTGTACGCTGATGACGTGGTGGTCTTCTATTCCAATCCCTCGGTATCAGATATCGCTCAAAAACTGAACACGGCCCTGGACCGGGTTCAATCACATTTAACATCCCTCGGCCTTCAAATATCTCCAAGTAAGTCTGTCGCCACCTTCTACTCTCTTTGCCCTCTAAGAAATATGAAGTGGCTTTTAAGAAAAAAGGGGTTAGCATCCACATAGGTGGAGTTAAACTGAACATAGAGTGGTCAGTGAAGTTCCTTGGGGTCCACATAGATTACTCCCTCTCGTGGAAAAAACACGTCGCTGAAACGAGAAAGAAGGTTCTCCCTCGCATCAACATCCTCAAGGTATTAGCGGGAATCAAGTGGGGATCCCACCCCGCCGTCCTGCTGACCGCGTACAAGGGCCTGGTGCGCTCCGTCCTGGAGTGGGGTTGCCAGGTCACGTTTCCACTTGGAGCACGGAAAGGCGTCGTACTAGACCGGTTACAGTATGCCTGTGCCAGGATCGTTTGTGGTCTCATGCGCACAACTCCAACCAATGTGTTGTTAGACATCGTCGGAGAACAACCATTGCGGTGTTGACACAGATACCTTGTCAGTAAATACGTGTGCAGGGTCTATGCTAGGTCTAGCCACTTTCTTGGACGACTTCTTGACGACTCTTGTGGGATGTAGGAATCTCTGTGCCCGGCTAACGCGTTTGGCCTCTTCTCCTTGTACCAGGAACTCCAACACCATCTTAAAGAGGTCAAAAGGTTCATACTTCCAGGAGGTCTTGCCCTACCGTTTCATATCGGATTCTTTAAGTGTGAGGTGGACACTGACACTGGGCTCCTTGTACGCCAGGCTGAAGATCCACAACGCTACCTTAGCAACTTCCTCAAAAACCGTGGCATTTCTAGGGTGTTCTTCACCGACGGCTCCCGAACTCCGGGCTCGGACGGGGTGCCACCCGCGGTAGGTTTTGCCGTGGTTTCTGAGGATCCGGAACTTATTCACTACAAACGTATTAGTAACAACTCTACCATCTTTGATGCACAGGCTCGGGGCATTATCTGCGCCCTAGAGTACCTACGAGATTTTAGGTTTGCAAAGGTCGTCGTAGCTTTTGACTCGATGAGCGTGGTCTCCTGTTTGGGGTCAGCGGATCCCAAAGGGTGATACTCTATTGACCACAGTACGATTCGACACCGCTCGATTCGACACAGATTTATTCGACACCAAATTATTCGACACCGTACGATTCG